CTTCTGAAAGATGGTGTAGAAACTTTCATCTCTGCATCTAGTGAAGCATGATTTGATGCTGCAGAATTGGTTGAACTTGTTCGGCTGGCTAGAGAGGAGACTCTACGACTGCTAGCAATGTTGATTTCCATGTTTGTTATATGAGTTGATTCATTCACTGATAAACTTCTATTACATTCTTCCACGACTTTCACTTGTTCTGTTTGTTGAAGTTGCACTAGCATGGGATAAATGTCTTTTTCATTTACCATTAACTCATTATGTGATCCGATTTCCATGACCTGCCCATCTTGGACAACAGCAATTAAATCTGCATGTCTAATAGTAGAAAGGCGGTGGGCAACAATGATTGTGGTGCGTCCAATAGAGGCCTTGTCAAGAGCTTCTTGCACAATACGTTCAGATTCAGAATCTAATGCACTTGTTGCCTCATCAAGGAGGAGGATTTTGGGTGCTTTTATCAAAGCTCTTGCTATGGCAATTCTTTGTTTCTGTCCACCAGACATTTGAACCCCTCTTTCTCCAACCTGTTAAATATAAAACAAAATTTTGAACATTTTTTCCTTATAATGAAGATATTTTTGTTCAAGCTATAGGACTATATAGACTATCAGTTTCTCTTTCTGGATGTTATACTTGTTTAGTAAAGTGACCTGAAAAAAAAATTAAAGCGGTTTACACTGACTTGGTAAAAATAAAGATAAGCAAACAAACCTGGGTGTCATATCCTTGAGGAAACTGGGATATGAAACTATGGGCATTGGAAGCTTTGGCAGCTTCAATAACCTTTTCCATTCCAGCTTCTTCATTGCCAAAAAGTATGTTCTCTTTAATGGTTGTTGCAAACAGTGTAGGCTCTTGACTCACCAACCCCATTTGTGACCTTAACCACTTGAGCTGCAATTTTTTAATTGAAACCCCATCAAGAAGAATGTCTCCTCCAAGAGGGTCATAAAACCTTTGCAACAGTGAAATCACTGTGGATTTTCCTGATCCACTACTACCCACCAAAGCCACAGTCTTTCCTGCAGGAATTTTGAGACAGAAACTCTTGAAAATTATGCTCTCAGGCCTTGAAGGGTATGCAAATTCAACCTGTTTGAATTCTAATTCTCCCAAAATGTTATCCAATGTTTCCCCTACCAAATTATCTAAATCAATCTTTGGGACTCTTTTAATCATTTCATTTATACGCTCTGCAGCCGCACATGCTTCAAATAAGGGCTTCAGGTTGGATAAGCCAATACCAAGTTCTCTGTTTAATAAAAGGAAAAATGACACTAAAAATCAGAATGAGACGAACTATGCGTGAAACGGAAAAATGATATATTGCCACTATCGAAGATAACATGCATCATGGTCAAGTATTAAAAATTTAAAAACTCTTACTGTCCTCCCACAGCAATACAAGTGCCCACAATGAATATAGTTCCACCCTTAGCTCCATGGTACATAACCATTCTGCTACCGTAGTAAATAATGAAAGCCCAAACTGCAAAAGTAATTCCATTGCTTCCAATGGCTAAGCCTTTAGCCATCCCTTGCTTCAGCCCCAACTTTAAAGATCCATGTAGAGCTGCAGAGAACTCAGTTGTGGTTTTCCTTTCACCGACAAAAGCATAAACTGTTCTTATGGAAGATATTGCCTGCTCTGCTATTGTGTTGGCTTTATTATACTCTACCCTAATCTTCCTTGCAAGACTCAGTAAAATTCTTCCATATAACAAAGATGGAGCCACCAAAAGTATAATAAATGGAAAAACCACAAGGGCCAATCTCCATAGTATGAGAAAAGATACTAAATAACTTCCAATAAATAGTGCACCAGTTGTTATTAAGCTTGGAACCTGATACATGATAAGCAAGTCAGTCGAATAACAACTTGAATTAAGGTAGTAGTTTCTGCAAAGAAAAATGACTTGGATGAATATTTTGAGAAACATTTGCAACCTTCTCACTGATAACATCTTGAATTATGAGACTGTCACTGGAAACACTTGTGACTACTTCAGCTGTGCTCGTTACATTCAAGTCAAAGTAGCCAACATCTTGCCTTAGGACAGCTTTCAAATACCTTGTTCTCATTCGTGCGGCTTGCCTTTCACTTGTCCTTGTCCAACAATATCCTTCTGAAATTTTTTTGAAATCATTGAGCAAAACTTGGAGTAATTAATATGTTTGCTATTCCCTCTAACTCAGAAGCAATTAACTAGCACAATAAGCATTTGCTTCAAACTCACTTAGGAAGCACCCAACGCATCCACCACAGGCAATCAAAATCATATATAGAGCCACCTGTCAGCCATGGAAACAAGCCCAATGGATCTGATGAGTTATATGAATACTATATGCGGCATGGGCATAATCATTCAAATATATGGCAAAATCTAAAAAAAAATGAGCATATAAGTATCAGATTTTCATCTCAAGTCTGAGTAATATTAATCATAGCTTGTGAGTAATAACGTACCTTATTAACGTTGTGGGTGAGCAAATCAAGAGATGAAGCTGAAACAGCGCCGCCAAGATTGTTAAACATACGGCCAGCAAAATATATTATCAGAGGTGAACTACTGCCATCAGCAACAGCTCCAATGAAGCCTGCAGCCATCAACCACATATCTACACCATCCGCAAGCATGAAAATGGAATTTATGGATCCATGTTTCTCCTTCTTAACATCATCGTTACCAACCATCGTTTTCTTTTCTTCCATTGATTTTGTTTTTCCTCCTCCGTCAACCGTATCTGTTAATATCAAGAAACAGCTCTCCTGTCCGATTCGAAGCGCCACTAGTATTAGCTTGATATTACATTTGGCATTTATAAATTGTGAGCCATGTCTTTCATTAACAAGTTGTTTAAGCAAAGCAGCAAATAGTCAAATACGATATTTTCATTTAATGACTGATAGAATTATTTAATAAGATGTTATATTTTAATCATAGTATTAACATAGATGAACCTCCCATTTTCTACGTTGTACAATAACGAAATGATTGTGTGAAAGAATTTTTTTTTTTTTATAAATGTGTGCAAATTTGACAATCCGAAATCAGTTTAGAGAAGCAGTTCGAATCAATGTAAATGTCAAAGATTATGGCATAGCTTTCCGAATTATTGTTCTCTGGGAGTTTTATTTTCATCAATAAGTAAACTATGGTTCAGCGAAACACAGATTTGAGGGGGGACAAAAGGCTAGGGCATTGCCATTCATGGCTGAGTTATACCCATTGGAACTCGACATCAATATTCATGGTCCGATCTTGACCTAAGCTTATCAATTTTTTAATTAAATAATAGAATAAATTATACCACATATCACTCAACTTTGTCCCCTGACTCGTTTATATCATTAAACTTTTAATTTTTTTCCAATTATAACACTATAAGTTTAATTTTATATTCAAATATATCACTCCACTATTATGTGCTTAACCGCATGATGACATAAAGTTTTTACTGTGATGGTGACGACGGGGACAATTTAATAATATTATTTCAGTCAAATAGGATTCACATAGGTTCTTTTACCCTTTTTCATGTAAAACACCCGATTTAAAATCCTAAATCTCTAATTCATTTTATCCTAAATCCCAAATAGGTCACTCAACATCATCTTCAACTAATCCGCCAATTACCGAATAAATTTGTTCATTAAAAGACAATCATCTAAATAAACTTCGTCTAACAATTTTAGTATTTTCCAATAGAATAACCGAAATTGACATCTAATTCACAAATTTAACTCTTAAACCATAAGAATAGTTCGCCAAATTCTACATCTTTTACATGCCTTTACACAAATGTTTTTTTTTTTTGAAAATAAGATACTTTGTATTAGGATTGATACAAAGTGACCATCCAAAGGGCCTCGTTAAAAAACCTCCCTAAACCTATACGGAGGAAAAAGAGTGTCCCTTTAGATGGGATAGAACCAAGTAACAGAATATAATACAACCTCAAAAACAACCGTTCATGGCAACGGACACCAAAAAAGCTATAAACCATAACAACCAAACAGCAAAGATGTAATCAATGAGTAGATAACTAAAGCCACTGGAGGAAACCATCTAAAAGCAACACGAGACTTTGAGAAACAAACCAGATGCGAGATAAAGACCAAACATAAAAGCAGAACAAAATCAGCAGAAAGTTTAGCAGCAGAAATCAGAGATAACCCCGCCTGGCACCAAAGATTGCTTCAGGATTACAAACGAAATCGTTAACTACTGGAATCAACAATGGCCAAAGGTAACACAAATGTTTTTTAAATAAAAAAGTTAAAGAGGTGAAGCATATTTACCATTGTCAACAAACTTTCTAACCTCTAACAGTGCATTTAGGGCTTATATACTCTCAGATCCCCAGTTCAAAGTGTCTTTTATAAAATTATTTATAATATACAGTATTTATACTAATATTTTTCATAGTTTTAAGATTGAGACAAGCAGTATAACATCGTGTCATGTATATAATTTTTAAAGGTATTATCATTTATATGTTCATTTTCTCATACTCATATATAGGAATATGTTCTCTTTTGTTATAAATAGAAAAATTTTAATTGAAAATATATCTCCTATAATAGACATTTACATTCTGCAATATCTAATTTAAATTAATCAGTAAATAAATTAAATATGATGATTAAATCAAGTAAAATAAAAATAATAATTTTATTTATTTATAATAAAATAAACCGCTTGTGATGACATCGAAATAAACGTATCTCAAAACCCTAATTCACTAAAATCAACCCCAAACCAAAAGGTGGGGGTTGGGGAAAAAGACTCGTTCGACCTATCGGTTAATTTGGAAACAGAAAGGGTAAAAGTTCAGACTAGGAAACAACAGAAACAAAGAACGAGACACATTTACCAGCACAAGTGCTAAAACCTGTGTCCAAATTCAGAACGCTACTAATACTCACAAAATCGAATTGCAAACAAGAGAAAATGAACCAAACATAAAACCATTTCTGCCTTCCCTTTCACCTATTCCTAAATATTCTATCCCTTCAATTTTTGCTTTTTAATCTCTTCTACAACCAAAACAAAAAAGACAAAACTCAAGAAATAAAGTAACTGGTTTGGTTTATCTCTCTCTCTCTTTCTCTCTTGTAAGATCTGTTACAGAGGAAAGTAAGTCCCTTTAATTGTATTCTTAAAATGGGTTTTTTTTCCTTCAAAGATACTCTTCTTGGTAAAATTCACTTTTTTTTTTACTTCTCCTTGTTTGCAGGATGAAGCGAATAAGAGATGATATATGTTCTGGTTCCCAATTTAAACGTCCATTTGGCTCTTCAAGAGCTGAATCGTAAGATGTTTTTCTTTTGTTTTCTGTAATATGCTTAAAGTTTATTGCCTTTTTTGAGGGTTTTGTTTAGTGAGGTTTGTCAGGGAATTTTGTGGAATTTGGATGTGGATTTATTTTATTCACCACTTGAATTGAGTGATTTCTCACGTTTTTTTTTTTGCTTGCCATGTTTTGTTTGAATGATGTTGGATTTCTGATTCTGGGACTCTTAAGTAGGATATATCACTTGGTTTTCTAATGTTCTGTAAATTTACTTCTATTTTGATGAAAACTTTCGGACCTTTTTTCACACTAGTCATCTATTGAAAAGTAAAATAGGTTTATCATAAAATTTTCAAGTTTTTTATTGATGTTCGTCAACTGGTTGTAATTCTGAAATCTTATTATTTTCACCTGTGAAGCTATGAGCAAAGCCAAATGCTGGGTGGAGGTGGCGGCGGTGGAGTAGGAGGAGGTGGTGGAAGTGGAGCAATGGGAGGGATGGGGCCAGGAGGGGGAAGTACCCCACAGAAATTGACTACAAATGATGCCTTGACATATCTAAAGGAAGTCAAGGAGATGTTTCAGGATCAAAAGGAGAAGTATGACATGTTCCTTGAAGTAATGAAGGATTTCAAGGCTCAAAGGTATCTTCATTCGAAATGGAAACAGTTTGCCAATGAGTAATGGATTCATGTTTTAAACTTCTAAACGCTCAGTTTGTCTTTTTTTCTTCTGCAGAACTGACACAGTTGGTGTCATTGCTCGAGTAAAAGAATTATTCCGAGGGCATAACAACTTGATTTATGGATTTAATACCTTCCTGCCAAAGGGCTATGAAATAACCCTTGATGAGGAAGAGGCTCTTCCTAAAAAGACTGTTGAATTTGACGAAGCAATCAGTTTTGTAAACAAAATAAAGGTAAAATCATTGAGGCGTAACCTTCCACCTTCCTGTTGGCCATGTTCAGTCGTCTAATTATCCATTTTACCAAGCAGAAACGTTTCCAACATGACGAGCATGTTTATAAGTCATTCCTGGATATCTTGAATATGTACCGGAAGGAACACAAGGACATAAATGAGGTCTACAGTGAGGTAAAATGTCTTATTTGGCTTGTTACTAAATTGACTCTTTGGTAGTAACCAGATCTTATAAACTATTTTTTCAGAAAAGGTTACTTGTTTGTTGTTTCATTGCTTCCAGGTTGCTTCTCTTTTTGAGGACCATTCAGATCTGCTCGAGGAGTTCACTAGATTTTTACCAGATTCTTCTGCAGCACCTTTGACACAACAAGTTCCATATGGTCGAAACTCAACTCCGCGTTATAATGAGCGAAGTTCTGCCACACCCAACACTCGTCATGCACAAATGGACAAAGTAACTATTCTTTTTATAATATTTGTGTTCTTGTTAGTTGCTATTTTTACGTGTTTGTGATATGAAATAATACTTATCATTCCTTTTTCAGCAACGCCGGAGGGATAGGATTACTTCCCATGCTGATCGGGATCTAAGTGTTGATTGTCATGACCTGGATGACGACAAAGCTATTGTCAAAATGCAAAAGGAGCATAGAAAGCGTGTGGAAAAGGAAAATAGGGATCGGAGAACTCGTGATCAGGATGATCCTGAGCATGAAAACAGGGATTTTAACATGCAGTGTTTTCCGGATAAGAAAAGATCGGGAAGGAAAATTGAAGGATTGGCTTCTTATGATGACAAGGATACTTTAAAAAGTGAGTTTATCAACCTTTTTGACATCTCTTTTTTTTTTTATAGAAATAGGGCCTCATTAAAAAACCCCTTCATAACCATTAAGCTCCTAGAAACTCAATGATCATAGGAAGGAGGAAAAGAGAGCCCAAAGATTTATTACTATAGCAATAGATACAACTAGTTTAGAACATAGAATACAACATAAAACCCCTTTAAACCAACCCCAAAGACAACCACCAAATACAAACAAAACACAAAAAAGAAATCATATCATAGTTATATATTTTTCACTGGTGTTTAGGACAACATTTTTTTTGTTCTTTTGCTATATACTTCTAATAATGGATCCTTCTCAATGTCTTTCTCCATCAATCATTAGTGTGCTTTGATTGTAAGAACGAGCTTGTAGTTTTATTTATGCTGAGATATGCTTTCATCATGCTTGTTTTTTTTTTTGATAGAAGATTAGGCCTCATTAAAAATCCCCTTCATACCCTTCATGTTATATCAGTAACATGAAGGACAATGGAAGGAGGAAAAGAGTGCCTAAGATTTTATTAAGCTGAACAATAGTACATTGCCAGACCCTAACATATTGCTAAAACACCAAAAGAAATAACATAAGACTGAAACAAAACTCCTTACAACACAGGAAATAACATTTCTTGCACCTCAACACAACCAACAAAAACCAAGTAACCAACTACCCATCTTTAGCTAATTTGTCAGCTTCCCAGTTTGCAACCCTAAAAATATGCCTAATAGTAATATCCTTTCCTGCCATAAGAGAGACTATATCCTTCACCAAGGATTGAAACATAGGGGTGCATAAACCCGGATTCTTGATCCACTTCAGAGTATTACTTGAGTCCGATTCTAGAATAAACCTCTGATTAAGAACAAAACCTAAGTCTTCTAGAAGACATAGCCCCCTCTTAATTGCCAATAATTCTTCCATGATAAGAGGACCAGCCCCAACTCTTTCTGAGAACCATTGAAGCAACAAACCACTGCTGTCCCGAATCAGACCACCAATACCTTCTTTATCCCAGCCTTTTACCATCGTTCCATCAACATTTAGCTTTAAGAACCTATCCGGAGGAGGAACCCAACAAGTTGGTTGAGAGCGACCCTTTCCCTGTCTTCCCACCGAATCAACAAGTTTTAAATCACCCACTAGGGAGTCTAAAGGGATATGCACTTTGTTGAACCTTGCAACAAACCAGGAAGCTATTCTAAATTAAACAATAAAGAACAGTCTCACCACATCCAGCTTTCCTTTCTGAAAAATAACCTCATTCCTACTTTTTCACACTGACCACATAACCGCCCTTGGAATGAATTTCCAGATCAAAGAGTTCGGCAGTAAATCATCCCACAAAATGAAAAAGTCAATGATATTCTTTGGAATCGCCAAGGACAAATTCCAAATATCCAAAAATCTAGACCACAGGCCCCATACTACCTCACAATACAAAAAAAGACGTGAAACTGATTCCACCTCCCTACCACACAGTGAACATAAAGGATCATCAATCCCTGCCACACCTCGCTTCAATAATTCCTCCTTAACCGCCACTCTCTGATGAGCAACTTGCCAAACAAATGTTTCCACCCGTGGAGGTGCAATCCCTACCCAAATATGCCTCTCCCAAGTCTCATGATTCTCCACAATACCATCTTGATACAAGATTTCGCTGAAAAACAGCCCTCTCAATTCCCTGACCAAATCCAGCAGTCTTCCTCACAAGGTGACAGCGAGATATTAATCAACATAGAAATCAACTGAAGCCACTGTTCAACCTCCCAATCCGCCAAATTTATTCTCATTTGAATATCCCACACCCAGCCAGAGGCATTATTCACCGTAAACTCCATCACTTTACCCGATTTATTGCTCGAAAGAGCATAGAGTCTAGGAAACTGAACTTTCAGGGGAACTTCTCCCAACCATACATCATTCCAGAACTCCACAGATTTCCCATTCCCAGTTTTCAAACGCATATTCTTTCTAAGACATCCCCAAAACCATCATTGGAAAATAAGTTTTTAACCACACCTCTCCAAATCCACGAGGCACGAGCTGTCCACGAATTCCCCATCATTATGGAATTCGGATCCAAGTTGTATACGCCACACACCACCCTCTTCCACCAGGCTGATGCAAACTTCCATACCCATTTCCCCAATAAAGCTCTGTTCAAGAGTGATAAATTCGGGATCCCTAGACCCCCCAATGCTTGTTGCAACTTATAAATGATGCTTTTGACTGTTAAGGAATTTCCATTGGCACACAACATATGTTTCATGTAATTTTGAAGCAACTGATATCCAGTAGTGAGCAATATTGTGTTAGTTTGTCTATCATGATTTTGCATCTTGATGTTCTTTGCTAAATCAGCTCTTAAAAATATAAGGTTAGTTTGTCTATCATTATTTTGCATATTGATGTTCTTAGCTATATCAGCTCTTAACAATTTTTTATGTGCTCTTTTGGGGTGTTATCATATTTAGGGAAGCGAATTTTTTAATCTGAGGGAAATATATCAACCTCTTGAAGTTTTAGTTTTTTATTTCAATCTCAGGCATGTGCAACCAAGGGTTCATATTCTGTGAGAAAGTTAAGGAGAGACTGTGCAGCTCAGATGACTACCAAGCGTTCTTAAAGTGCCTTAATATTTATAGCAATGGAATTATCAAAAGAAATGATTTGCAAAATTTGGTATGTTTTGCAACATCTCTTGCAATTATCGTTGAACTTTTGTATCATTCTTCTTATCTTTGTAGAATTATCAGGAAATACATCTCACCTATTTGTGCTGGTAGTCTAATTATATTGTTACCTTGCTTTATGTGTATTTCAGGTGACGGATTTACTTGGCAAGCATCCCGATCTTATGATCGAGTTCAATCAGTTCTTGGAGCGTTGTGAGAATACCGGTAACTACTGAAGTTTCATCTTTGAGTTGTTTTATTTGGTTATTTATCTTTAAGGCCATTTCTTAATTTAAATGTTTCCTGCAGATGGGCTCCTTGCTGGTGTCATTAGTAAAAGTATGTAATTGATAGCTTTTTTTTTTTGTCCATTTTCTTATTCTTATTGGTGTTTTCTAATTTTCCATAAACCTAGGTGTGCCTAGTTTAGTCTTGTTCGATGCGATTTCTTTTCTTATATGTATGTAACCTGCAATGATGTTTACCTCCTGATTGCAGAATCACTTAGTAGTGATGCACATGCATCAAGGCCATTCAAATTGGAGAAAGATAGAGAGCATAAACGTGAAATGGAGGAAGCTAAGGAAAAGGAGAGATCCAGGGAGAAATACATGGAAAAATCCATACAAGAGCTTGACCTTTCTGACTGCCAACGTTGTACTCCAAGCTATCGGCTTCTTCCTGATGATGTATTAACTTTTGATTTTTTTTCCAACTTGCAAACCATGCATGGCTCGGTACTGATATCGACATCCTTTGGTGTTTTTCTCTCAGTATCCATTACCTTCAGCAAGTCAGAGATCAGAGCTTGGTGCTCAAGTGCTGAATGATCATTGGGTATCTGTGACTTCGGGAAGTGAGGATTATTCTTTTAAGCATATGCGCAGAAATCAGTATGAAGAGAGTTTGTTTAGATGCGAGGACGATAGGTAAAATTTGTTGGTCTTCCTTTATTTGTCCCAGTACCCTGTATGCAATTGATATCTATGTTGCCCTTGAGTCTTCATTTTTCTTGAAGCACACGTGTCCTATGCACAGTTGGATATGGATATGACCCTCCAAATACATGGAAAAACTTTTGAAAAATAAATTATGCATACCCGTATCTGACATTCACACTTGAGTTTGAGTAACATAGATCAATATAGTGATTATTTGTCTCTTTTTTGTAATTTGTTTATTCTGTTATTCCCTTTATGATATTTTGTAATGCTTGTAAAGGTGAGAGCGAGTTTTACTGAAAAAAAGTTCAATGTCCACTTATTAGTTATGTTTTCTATTTCCTTTGAAGTTCTCGATATTTAAGTCCTAGACATAATTAACTTCTTGTTTCATGGTCTTAGATTTGAGCTGGATATGTTGTTAGAATCTGTGAGCTCAACTGCCAAGCGTGTGGAGGACTTGCTGAACAGCATTAATGAAAATAAAATCAGTATGGAGTCTCCATTTCGTGTAGAAGAACACTTAACTGGTTTGTTCTTCTACTAGATTGATTAAATTATGTGTGTTTCTGCTATGTGAACATTATTCATCTTTTAATGTTTACTTCTGATCCACTTACTGCAGTTCTAAATTTAAGGTGCATTGAGCGTTTGTATGGTGACCATGGTCTTGATGTAATAGAAATATTACGTAAAACTCCTGCTCTTGCATTGTCAGTCATTTTAATTCGCCTGAAGCAGAAGCAAGAAGAGTGGACAAAATGCCGTTCAGATTTTAACAAGGTTTGGGCTGAAATTTATTCAAAAAACCATTACAAATCACTTGATCACCGCAGTTTCTACTTCAAACAGCAGGATTCAAAGAACTTGAGCGCAAAATGTAAGTGGAATTTCCATATGATAATATCATGCTGCATTTTCTTATGTTGCAAAATCCAATCGAAAGATTGATAGATGATTCTTAACAACTTGTTCTAATAGTTGCCTAAAAGAGTAGACTTAGAAACCATATGTGAAATCATTTAACTACATGTTTATTACTTATCTTTCAAATGTTGCAATATCCGGCTGAATGGTTTTAATATTTTCATTTGCACTAAATCCAAAAGTTTGTTAGATTCTAAAAGTTTGGTTGCATGCTTTTCTATGGTCTCTTGAGGAGAGTGTGTCCACTTCTATGCCCCTCTATATTCTTATCACTTATCTCTTATAGTCTAGTTGATCCCATTTTCTAATTGCAGCCTTAGTGGCTGAAATCAAGGAGTTGCAAGAGAAGAACCAGAAAGAGGATGATGTTCTTGTAGCTAGCGTTGCTGGTCACCGGCAACCCGTTGCTCCACAGCTCGAATATGAATATTTGGATGTCGACATTCACGAAGACCTATATAAACTTATATTATATTCGTCTGAAGAGATTTGCTCAACCAAAGAACAGTTAAATAAAGTCATGAGGCTCTGGACCACTTTCTTGGAGCCAATGTTGGGTGTTCCTCCTCGACCTTATGGCAGAGAAGTTTCTAATGATGCTGGTAAAGCTCTGGATCCTGCCGTAAACTGCACCACATCAAGCATTGCTGAAAGTGATGGAAATCCTGGAGCTGTTGCTGCTGTTAGTTCCAGGCAACAGAAGGCTGCTAGTTATAGAGATGGGAACAGTTCACCAGTACTAACTAAGTCTTGCAGAAAGGACTTGACAAATGAGGAAACTTCACCCAACGAAGAACGAACGGACCGTGTATGTAGAGATGATTCAAAGCTAGAGAAAGAGATCACATTTATAGCTGATAGAAGGCCAGGAATTAACAAACATACAAGTGGACTTGGAGCCCTTGCAATTGAAGCAGAAAATAATCACATCGGAAATGGTGTTGAAGGGGCATCAGGTGCATATGTCAGACAAAAGTTAACAATCATTTGTTATTTTCTTGTTCGTTAACCTAGTTCTGTTATTACATTTATCTAATTATTACTTCCTTTCCAAAATCATGTTGCAATACTGAGTTTAGTTTGATTTTCATGTGGTGCAACAGCATCTAGACCTTGCATTTCTGCTAGTGAGGATCATGAACCTGAAGCTAATGCTTGTCTCGTACATTCATTAGAGGTATGGATTTATGCATATCGACTACTGTATTCCTTTGTCACTTGGACTCAGTTGCGAGTGTCAGATGCGGGTATGTGTTTGACATTGGTCTACTCATTTCCCCCCTAAGTTTTTTATGTATTTGAAGGGTCCATAAAGAGTCGTAGCTTCATCACCATGCCCATATATGTTGGACATGGATACTTTACGAAAAATGACCATACACAGGCAACATAATCCTTGTTGACGACTTTGAGGTGGAAAAGCAAGGAGGTTTTTTCTTTGACTTCTAGTTGTAATATGCTAACACAAATTTGCTTGGTACTTCAGGGTGATGTAATGAAACACGTTTTATTAGCAAATGGGGTGCCTACTGATGGCTCCAATGCAAGTAGATTCCATGATGAATCCGTCGGTCCATCAAAAATTGAGAAAGAAGAAGGTGAATTATCACCTAATGGTGATTTTGAGGAGGATAATTTTGTTGCATATGGGGATACTGGTCCAAATGCTGTACCCAAGGCAAATCATGATGGTGAAACCAGACAGTACAGGTCTATAAACAGGAAAGAGTTGAATTACAAGGATGCTGGAGGTGAAAACGATGCTGATGAGGAGGATAGTGAAAATGCCTCAGAGGCAGGTAATGACGCATCCGGCAGTGAGTCTGCAGGTGATGAGTGCTCCCATGAAGAGGAGGAAGAGGTAGAACAGGATGAAGTTGATGGTAAAGCAGAGAGTGAAGGGGAAGCCGAAGGGATAGCTGATACACATGTGGGAGGAGATTGTGCTCCCTTGTCAGTCTTGGAACGGTGTCTGCTCACGGTGAAGCCTCTTGCAAAGCACGTACCTTCACTTTTACCTGAAGAAGCTGGAAACAGTTCTTGCGTGTTTTACACAAATGATGATTTCTATGTTCTTTTCAGACTTCATCAAGTATGTTGAACGACAAAAGCCTTTTAGTTATTTCATCTAATTTTTCTCTCAGGCATTTAAGTATTCTTTGATGTTTGATTTTTGTTAGATCCTATATGAAAGAATATTGTCTGCAAAAATAAATTCAATGGGTTCTGAAATGAAGTTGAAAAATTCAAAAGAAGCTAGTCCTACTGATTTATATGACAGGTGATGTACATATAAATTTTATTTTGAAACAATATGAAAGGTCCAATGCATTCTAATTTCAAAAACTTAATCTCTGTACTATTCAGATTTATGAGTGCACTGTATGGTCTGCTTGATGGATCTGCTGATAATGCGAAGTTTGAGGATGAATGTCGAGCTATAATAGGAAACCAGTCGTATGTGTTATTCACATTGGACAAGTTATTATATAAATTGGTTAAGCAGGTTCGCTTTACTAATTTGTTTGTCTTTCATTATTTTATTCTGATTTCTCCTGCAGTTCTGAATTTTAGTTTTCATTTCAGCTTCAAGCTGTCTCTGTCGATGATATGGATAATAAGCTTCTCCAATTGTTTGAGTATGAAAAATCCCGAAAACATGGGAAGACAATGGATTCTGTGTATTACGAGAATGCCCGTGTTCTCCTTCATGAGGAGAATATATACCAACTGAAATGTGTAAGTTTGCATTCTTCACTTTCTTTCTAACTCCATGTTTGTTTATGCATTTTTTTTTGTCTGGGTTTTGTTTTTGCAGTCTTCTTCGCCATCTCGTTTGTCTATTCAGCTGATGGACAATGTCATCGAAAAGCCAGAGGCATTTGCAGTTTCCATGGAGCCTAACTTTTCAGCTTTTTTACACAATGATTTTCTGTCAGTTTTTCCCAGCAAAAAGGAGCCACATGGCATTACACTGAGGAGGTAGTAACTGATGACATGTAAATGTTAGGTTTGGTCAGCCTCATATTATAATTATTATGAGATTATTTTAATAAAGGAAAGATTAGTAAATGCTTATTCTGATACTGCTTCAAGTTTCAATTTTTCTTGAAATATTGCATAACTTAGAAAACATTTGAATATAACCATATGGTACACATACCCATATCTTATATTAACACCCAAGTCTTATTCATGCATGCTTAATCTACTTTGTTTACTGATATTTGCAGAAACAAGAAAAAGTATGCAATTCTAGATGAATTTGCTGCAATTTGCATGGCCATGGAAGGTGTTGAACTGGTTAATGGTTTAGAGAATAAGATAGCTTGCAACTCATACAAGGTATTTTGCGGTTAACAATATGTTGTTTAATCTTTACCTCTCTTACATGACCTTTCCGATGTGGTTGAATGTAAATTACTTATCCATTGCGATGTTTGTCGGGTCTTTCTTTTTCTTTTCTTATGATCTGTGTATTATGTTGGCAGATTTCCTATGTGTTGGACACTGAAGATTTCTTCTTTCGTAGAAGGAAATCACCTCATAGCAAACCTCCGTATGATAATCAATCAAGAGTACAAAGGTTCCACAGATTTTTATCTGCTTCACAATGATATTGCCATTTTTGCCTCGCACCGGCGCAAATGGTAAACTAGCAAAACCAAGATCCTTAAATCTTGAGAATTTCAAATCTGGTAGTAATCTTCATTGTGCTCACAAATATGTTTCTTGTATGTTAATAGTGGCTGCTAGTTGGTCATGCTAGTAGTGAAACAAGGAAGAATGGTTGGGAAATGTAGCATATTTGTAAGTTGATATGAGCAATGATCTACCATTATTGTGTAAATAGATTTATAAAAGAAAAAAGGGTTTGTCAGATCTTTATAGGTTTCGGAGCATGATGTTTCTTGAATGTTAATAGTTGCTCTGCTTGTTGGCCCTTCTAGTAGTGAAACTAGGAAGAATCAATTATGCTGATTTTTCTTTCTTTCTGGTTCTATTGCAAATTTGAATGGCCATTCAGTGATGGAAGATAGAACATGACACTAAAAAATAAGATACAAAATCCAGCAAGCTTAATGTTTCATACAATATGCTGCCTGTCTCATATAGACAGAATCTGAAATATAACCATGCAAACGTTCATACTTGGTCTCACCTTTCAATTTAGATAAGGGTAAAACTAGGGACAGTACTCAACCTCATAGTCTCTGTCATCAACTCTTCATATTTCTTAAATTACTTGTATTCAACACCCATGTCAAACATATTCTCATATATGAGTACGAGATTAAGGATTCTCCAAATAAAAATTTTGGGGAAAAAAAAAGTTTTAAACATGCCATGTCGAGCAGGTACCTACATCTTACACACGTCCAAGTCCAAGCAACATAGTATAGAGCTGCATATATAGGTTAGTTATTTGATAATACATTTTAAAGTTCTAAAAAATGAATCAATAAGTTATGTTAAAGCAGGCTGCATAAAATTTTTATGTGATAATCATAAGTATCTTCAAGGGAAATGTACATTATCAGATTAACCAAAACTACAACCAAAAAGAAAATAGACAAAAATGGAAAATATTCTACATTTGTCATACAACTTACTTTACAATAACCCAATAACACAACTTAGATGCAATCTGTTTTCCAAGCCTCTCAAATGATGACCCAATAGCATACACCTGCCGGGGAAAAAGGCCGACTTTGATGTCATAATTTGTAACCCAATTGCAATTGTTGGAAATAATACGGAAAATAATAGTATTAATACATTTGATATATTACAAGTGATCATTCATCTTTTTTCCCCCTTTAAAACAAAGAATTTGCTGCATTTTCAGTTATGCTATGAATGAAAATCCAGAATATCTTTCAAATCTAAGAGCCTCCTAGATTTTCTTCTTCACCCTTCTCGACAACTACAATGTGCATGCATAAGGGTATAGCGATGCCGATGTCCACTTTTATAATACACCTAACTTGTAAAAAGCAAGGGCATTAAAATAAAATGGAAAACGTACCAGAAAAGCAGCTTTGCAAGGTAATCACGGGAAGTGCCAAAAGTGCCACAATTTTCATCAGCAGCATCTTGATGATTTCCCGTATTTACTATCCCTGAATCTCTCATACAAGCATCCTTGAAGAACCTTCGCAATATATTTTGGACAAGCTGATGGATCATTTCCTCCACTTGCACCGATGATGGTTGGGATAATTCTGTCACCTGAAAATGAAAATTTAAAAATAAAATGCTTCGAGTTAATTGTGGTATCAAAACAAAGTTAATTCAATCTCATAGCAAGATAATCTAAAAAGCAGCACTTTATGGCCATTACCATGTCAGCATCCAAGGATCGTAAATACTCCAACAAACCATTGATGTTTCCCCTGCCACATTCTATTCGCACATTTTCCTTCTTTTGATCATTTAGTTCCTGAAACAACACACAATAATCATCTTATATCAAGGGAATCCAAAAACGCATTATATCAAACTATTCACAATGTGTTGGGTACTATGATCCCTCAAACGGAGGAAAAATGGATTCACCATTAAAGAACAGCTCGAATATGTCAAAACTTTGAAAAACAATAAAAGGAAGTTCAATATAACAAGATAAGGGCGGTATTAAATATATTGACAAAACATGTATAATCAAACTTGGTTTAATGTTTAACTTGATATCTAAGTTTTTTTTATCTAATGAAGTACTTGAATTTAATTTTATGGTTTAAATTGCTGTCTGAACTTGACCTTTTTTTTATATATCTAAATTGGTATCTAAACTTAGCTTTTTAGACAGAATTGATACTTACAGTAAAAATCTTATTTAAATCAATTTGAACATAAAGATAAATCTAATTGAACTCCAAAGAAAAAACTCACAGAAATTTAATTTTAAAATTAAATTCATGTATCGAAATATATACCTACCCCTCTTAAAATAACATGAAGCAAATTCAAAGAGTTTGCCTTAAATTAATCTTAGGGAAGAACTTCCCTTTTATTTATTGGTTATGCAAATTTCTAAAGGGAAAACAGTAGTTTTGCTGAAACCCCAATGGTTCACAATTAATTTAGCCATTATTATTTGATTTTGATAAAATTAGCAGTAAAAAAAATAAAAACCTCACCTCCTCCATATAAGATAATTCAGCTTGCAGCTTCTCAATATACTTCAAAGCCTCCGGAGACAGATCCCCGAAAACCCTCGGCCTTATATCCTCCAACTCATCGAATTCACCATTTTCACCCTTAACCTCCTCCTTATTCTTCTCCACTAATTGTACTTCTCTCTGTCCCTGCTTAACTCCCTCCTCCGTCTGCTTCACCGCCTCATCCGCCGGTGCCGCTCTTTCCAGATTTCTCGTCAATGAAATCCTATACTCCGCGTTCCACAACGTATATCTAAATAAAAATATAATCTTTTATAAATAGATTAATTAATTAATTCATAAAAAAAACTTTTTGGAAGCTGAAAATAAGTTATTACCCGGTGATAATAGATGAGAAGAGGAGGCGATGGAGAGGAGGTTCCGAAAGGGAAACCAAAACGGAGAATTGACCAGATGGGAGAATTCCAAGCATGGAGGAGATAGTTCGTTTCATTGCTTCTTTGGCCGAATCGGAAACCCCTTTGGAAATAACGGAAGTGTCGAGTGGTTCTATGTGTTTTAACATGTTGGCTATCACTATGAATCCACGATCCAAATTCGATTTCTGCGTTGAAACAGAATAGTCATCGCAGCCTCCGCCACCGTTCAAGCAGCAGCCGACGGTTACAGAGGGAGATGGACGGTTGCGAAAGTTAGGGAGGAAGCAAGAAAGACAAGGTGAAAGAGGTTTGGCTGACAGCGCGGTGACGCGGGAAAAGATGAGAGCTCGGACCGTGGCTATCGATGCCATCGGAGATGACGCTTCTGGAGCTTTCTTTTTCCTCTTAAGTCTTAATCTTCTTACCCGTACTAGCTTGGTTTTGTGTTTTTTTTTAATTCAAGATTACAACTGCGGTCCGGGTCAGTTTGGGCTATGACCCGAATTTTTTTATTTAAGACTCGTTTAATCCGGTCCGAAAGGATCAATTGAATAATTATATAATTTATTTTTAAGAAATTGTTTATGATTTTTTAGTTTAATATATTTTTATTTCCTCTCATTCCAATTATTAGCAGTTTTAGGACTCGGTTGCCAAAATATACTAAATTCCCACCAAAGAGTCTACACTCACATTTGTAAAAATAAGTAATTTCATTGATTTAAGATAATATTATCTTTTTAAAAAGTCTCAAGTTTAACTACGGCGATTATAAAATATAAGATATTTATTATCAATTAATTAAAAATATTTTAAATAAATATGATCTTATAATTACTTAAATCTAATAAAAAATTATTTTCTAGAGCAAAATCCAATGGTCTGGGAGCACATCTATGCAAATATCAAACAGGTAAAGGATAAGGGGTCCTCTTGTCTAATGCATTACTTTTCTTGAAATATTGTATAAGACTGAAAACCTGAAAATAATGATGGAGATTTTTGTCTATTTTATCTTCTGATCAGAAAAATCAATAATGATAATACAAAATAATTTAATCTACTTTTATGAAAAATAATATATTTATTGTACCACAAAAACAAGAATAACTTAATTTAAAATTTAATTATGATTTTTCTTAAAAGAAATATAATTACAATCACAATCAATATACATTCATACAATTATAAATGAAATTAATTAATATAATATACAAATATAATCATTATAATGTACAACAGAAGATTGATAACTGAAATATATTTAAATTTAGATTAAAATGAACTTAAACAAAACTTACGTATGTATAAATTTGTGCATAATATCACTCCCCATATTTTTTTTAATTTTTTTTTAGCATTTTAAGCTCATCAAGTAGCCTCGATAATAAAAGAGAATGTTAATCTCTCTAAAGGGGTGCAAAGTGTGTTTGTCTTATTAATAAATTAAAAAATTCTAAACAGATATTATCTTACAATCACTTAGACTATTCAAGGGGGAAACATTTTATCAACAAAGTTAAGAATTGATTGGCCAAACTAAACTTATCGATCCGAAAAGATAATCCATCTTAAAATAGATGTATTTTGCTTGGTAGAATTTAAATAGATGTTTTCATATGAAAAGGGTAATTCAAGTGGCTCTCATGGCTTCTCATCTGAGGCTTAGAACCACAAAACCTAGTGATTTTGATCCTTCAAACTGCAACTTTGCCACACAAAAGAAGTATCTTCAAAGTTTGATATATATAATGACAAAAAGCTTGATAATGAATGTTTATAATGCCCTGGGATTGGTTGAGGTTAGAGAAGATAAGGATCCTTATTCAGATTTGGACCAATTTAGAATGAATGAAATAATGGCTTTTATATGGGTAGCCCCTAAATTATTTTAATTCAGTTTAAAACAATGTATAAATAATATAATGATTTTCTTTAGAGATCAGAATATCAATTTAGTTTATCTAACTTAACCTATGATGAGTTGGGTTTGAATTTTATGAAGTCAACCCCACCTAATTTATCATTCACTAATTAACTTTTATTTAAATTTAATAAAATATATAAATTATTAGCATAGAAATAATTTTTAACATTTTATTCAAAAAATAATAATATTTAATATTTAAAATTAATTAAACAATTCTGAACAGATACTTACGGGTGTAAATGAACAAAATATTCGACGAAATGTTTATGAATCGTTCATATGGCATCCATTTATTATTGTTTATAAAGCTAAATAAATAAATATGAGCAAATTTTTTATGTTGATTTAATAAATGAAAGGATACAGACAGATGTGTGTTTGTTTCGTTTATGTTCACGAAAAAATATATTTATCGACTCGTTTTATAAGCTCGTTTATTTAGTTTTTTTTTCTTTTATTCTTTTTACATTTTAAATATTGATGAAAACAAAGATTAAATATAATATAAGGTGAACTTTAGAGTTTGAATTGTGTAACCTAAGGAATCTAAGCACTAGCACTATGATTTCACCATTTTTTTAGCTCGTAAATAAGAGGGAAAAGAGAGTGTTAGTTGTTTAACATTAAATAAACATGTTTGCGAATGCTAAACAAACAAATATAAACACCTTCAAAACAAAATAAAAATACATAAATACAAAACTGAAAATTGAAACGAATACAAACTAAATATGAATATCTTAAAAAACAAATAAACAAACATAACTTAATTCATTAAAACGTAATTCATTTATTCTTTAATAAATAATACTATAACTATTAAAAACATGAGTGAAAGGATTAAGGAACCAACAAATGAATCCAGATTCCGCGAAAAATGGATTTAAAGAATTTTGGGTCACGACCCAAACCCAGTTGGCTAAAGAGAAGTGTAAATAAACCAAATCTGGAGTTGAGTCTGCTCCAAGCCTCTAACCTTAGTAGAGATCGTGTAACGAATTACAATATAGACCTATAACTATAAGTAAATTAAATATATAGTTAATATATTTTTCTATAACCACATAAAAATAAATCATTTAAGATCATACAAAGATTATATAAGAAAAATGTTAAAAACTTAATAAAAACTCGAATAAAAGATAAATACGAATAGATCTGACTGTATCGGTAAAAAGAATCACAAAAAAAGATGAAGCTATTGAAAGAACACTAACAAACCATAAATCATATTCGAGCGACGTAAAAAAACAATCCACGAACGCAATTCATGTATCCAAATTCAATCTGAAGGTCTAAAGCAAAGAAGATCAACATAATAATAAATAAGTGTCATAGAGGTATAATTATTAAAATCTAAAAAGAAAAATTAAGAAAAATCAAATATATAGTATAAAAAAAATATCGACAAAAACAATTAATATCAATTTTAATGTCCTCATCCATTAATAAAAGTTAAAAGAGAGGAATCAACCACATATAAGGTAAAAGAGAGAAAACTCCAACTCTAACCGAAAAATAATTTTATATTTTTCATCAGCAGTGATCCGAATAGATTTACATTTTGACATTATTACTATATAGTTTATGAAGGGATAAAATGGTAGGTAGTAATGGTATTCAATGACAAATCATGTACCCAATAAAAACAACACAAATCAGTGTCTTTTTATTACAAATTTTCTATATAGATCTGCATCTGTTAAGAAGGGGAAAATTCCAAATTTTCTACCTTAAATCTTGAAAAGTCCGTCTAGACGTCTTGAAAAGTCTTCAACAAAACACAAGTTACAACCGTAAATTTCTTTCATTTGTCAAAAAGAAGAAAGAACTTTAGCATTCCTTGAAGTTCGATCCCGTTACATGAAGACTAGGCTTTGATATAAAAACAGAGCAAGAGGGCCCTGTTTGGAAGAAGGGAAAGCAAAAGAAAAAGGAAACAGAGGAAGAGAAAAGTCCAAAACATGCCTTTGTCCTTCTACCTTGGCAACACCCGCCGCGGCGGAGGATGGGCTCAGTCATTGCTCCCTTCGTCATCACCCACCGTCAAATCAACCCCCAAAGTTCACGCCTCTCGGAAGTCACGAAAACGGACGGCTCTGATCAACTTCTTGCTCACCAACTTCTTCACCATAGCTCTTTGCCTTTCCTTCATATTCTTCTTCTTAACTCTCCTTTTCTTTGGAATCCCAGGACCCATTTCATCCCATTTCAAGCCCCCATCCGTTCCCCGAAGGATCACGACCCGGAAACCAGTGACCCCGAAACAACCCAGGTTGAACTCGACCCTAACCGGTGCCGCCGTCGATATAACGACTAAAGATTTGTATGATAAAATTGAGTTCTTGGATAAACCTGGAGGGGCTTGGACACAAGGGTGGAAAGTTAGCTATAAAGGAAATGAATGGGATACTGAAAAATTGAAGATCTTTGTGGTACCTCATTCTCATAATGATCCGGGGTGGAAATTCACTGTGGAGGAGTATTATGAGAGGCAGACAAAGCATATACTTGATACCATTGTACACACTTTATCAAAGGTGAGTTCTTTCCCTTCTTTTTAATAATTTTTTGGGATTTGAGGAGGTTAAATTTCGATGGGTTTGTGTTAAGATGGTTAAATGCTTGAATAAAGTTGGAATTTGATAAACGGTTAGCTTGATCGGTTCATATATTTATTGATATTTAGCGTTGAGCGAATTTAGAGATTTGTTCATAGTATCCACCAGGTCTGGAGCTAGCTAGTGTTATTATATTTCTGCCTTTTTATTGATATTTAGTGTTTAACGTAGTTAGAGATTCAGTGCTGAAGAAAGGTGAACTGAATGAAATAATGGGAATGTTCTTATCTATATTTGCCCGTCCATAGAAATGAAATTTCAGTTACCCTTCCGATTACTTTGGAAAGTAAAGTTTGATGTTTATCGGATCTTTGTTAACTTGATTCGGGTTTAAGTGTCGGATATTGGTATATATCTGATAGAACATGTTCAAGTATCCCTAATTTATTTCATATTTTCGAAGCTAATATGCATGAAACCATGTTCAAACAAACATGAATTCTTTAATAATAATCAATTGTCCTAATAACCTTAACATTAGAGTATTACTGAAGTAGATATGGGAATCATTATCCGAAGTTAATGTCGGTGAACTCAGTGGATCGTGTTGTGATAGTTTAATGTAGTTTTAAACCTTTTAGTTCAAGGCTGATTTATATCTTGGAATATGCATATTTCACACAGATGATTTTGAAATTCGTGTTCTTTTACCTTTCAAATATACATGAAGTATGCATTTCATTCTCACAATTTATATAACTAATGAAACCCAAACCCAAATTTTCGTAACCATGTTACCAAACATAGCATTAATGTCTTCTGAAACTGTATTCTCAGGATCCTCGGCGAAAGTTCATATGGGAAGAGATGTCCTATTTGGAAAGATGGTGGAGAGATGCCTCGGAGGATAAAAGGGAGTCTTTCACAAATTTGATGAAGAATGGTCAGTTAGAAATAGTAGTAGGTGGCTGGGTTATGAATGATGAGGTATGCCTATAAGCTCTTATAATCCGAGAGATTCCATGCATTGTACTTCGTTATAGCCACTTACATTATTCAGAGTAGGGTGTGATTGTTGGATACGGATGTGTTCAACATGCCTATATTCAATTCATATCCCAATACCCCATGTTCGGATATTTTTTTTTTGGGGGGGAAGGGTGTCGGACATGGGTTCTTTAACAAAAATAAATAGTTGGAGCAAAATAGATATTATTCCCTGTTATGTGGTTTTCATTTGGGTTTAGTGACCTTTTGTTTTCTTGATACAGGCAAATTCACATTATTTTGCTATAATCGAGCAGGTAATCCTGGAACACCGTTTCTTTGTTTATTGTACTTGGCTCTATGATACCTTAATCTCAGAAGTTTATGCTATGCATTGATCTTGTGATTTTATGTTCATGTCAATGATCATGATTCCATGGATACCATGTGTGAAAATATCAACTTTACATAAATTTATGGATTCTCACTAGAAAGATCCTCTAAAAACCAGGGTTACACATGCATTTGTTGAAATCCGTTAAATGATCTTTTTCCTTGCTTGTCTATTTCTAATTTGCATCAATGATGAACAAGTTTTATTTCCCATAGTTTTATATCATTGAAAATTCTATGAACCCGTGTTCTTTACTTTGATTTTCCGATATTTGTAAATGCAGATAACTGAGGGAAATATGTGGTTGAATGACACCATTGGGTTTGTCCCGAAAAATTCCTGGGCAATAGATCCATTTGGTTACTCACCTACCATGGCTTATCTCCTCCGCCGTATGGGGTTTGAGAATATGCTTATTCAAAGGACACATTATGAGTTGAAGAAGGAACTTGCTTGGCATAAAAACTTGGAATATGTCTGGCGTCAGAGTTGGGATGCTGATGAAACTACCGACATTTTCGTGCATATGATGCCATTCTATTCATATGATATTCCTCATACTTGTGGACCGGAGCCTGCAATTTGTTGTCAGTTTGATTTTGCTCGTACACACCGCTTCTCTTATGAACTCTGCCCGTGGGGACAACATCCTGAAGAGACTAACCAGGAAAATCTGCAGGAGAGGGCACTAAAACTATTAGATCAATATAGGAAGAAGTCAACCCTATACAGGACTAATACACTTCTTGTACCTCTCGGAGATGATTTCCGCTACGTCAGTGTTGAAGAAGCAGAGGCTCAGTTTCAAAATTATCAAATGATATTTGACTATATCAACTCCACTCCCAGTTTAAATGCGGAAGCGAAATTTGGCACTTTGGATGACTATTTTCAGACCCTTCGAGAGGAGGCTGACAGAATAAACTATTCCCTTCATGGAGAAATTGGCTCCAGTCAGATTGGCGGTTTCCCTTCTTTATCAGGTGACTTCTTTACATATGCTGATAGGCAGCAGGATTATTGGAGCGGTTATTATGTTTCAAGACCTTTCTTTAAAGCTGTTGACCGGGTACTAGAACAAACGCTTCGTGCTTCTGAAATGTTAATGGCATTCTTACTTGGTCATTGCCAGAGACCACAATGTGAAAAGTTGCCGATGAGGTATGCTTATAAGTTGACAGCTGCAAGAAGGAATTTAGCTCTTTTTCAGCATCATGATGGGGTGACGGGAACTGCTAAGGATCATGTTGTTCTCGATTATGGAACTCGGATGCACACTTCTTTACAAGACCTGCAGATTTTCATGTCCAAAGCAATTGAAGTTTTGCTCGGAATTCGCCAAGAGAAGTCTGATCTGACCCCTGCGCTGTTTGATCCTGAACAAGTGAGATCTAAATATGATGCTCTGCCTGTGCGTAGAGTAATCAGCACTCACAAAGGAACAGCACAGTCGGTTGTATTCTTTAATCCGCTCGAGCAAACACGAGAGGAGGTTGTGATGGTAGTTGTTAATAGAGCAGATGTTACCGTTTTGGACTCAAATTGGACTTGTGTTCAAAGCCAGGTTTCTCCTGAATTGCAGCATGATGAAAGCAAGATTTTTACAGGCAGGCATCGCCTCCACTGGAAAGCTTCCGTTCCTGCGATGGGTTTGCAGACATATTATATTGCTAACAGCTTTGTCGGATGTGAAAAAGCTAAACCGGCAAAACTGAAGTTCTTTTCAAAATTGAGTTCAATTCAGTGCCCTGCACCATATGCTTGCTCAAAAGTTGAAGGGGATACTGTTGAAATCATGAACCGGCGTCAAGTTCTCACCTTTGATGTCAAGCATGGTCTGTTGCAGAAAGTAACCCACAAAAATGGTCCGCAAAATGTTGTGGTTGAAGAGATAGGCCTTTACTCAAGTTCAGGAGGTGCATACCTTTTCTTACCGGACGGGGATGCTCAGCCTATAATTCAGCCTGGCGGGCATTTGGTTATCTCTGAGGGACCATTGATGCAAGAGATGTACTCTTATCCTAAAACTTCATGGGAGAAAACACCCGTTTCCCATAGTACTCGCCTTTACAACAGAGGCACTACAGTACAGGAGTTTTTGATAGAGAAGGAATACCATGTTGAGCTTCTTGGCAGGGATTTTAATGACAGAGAGTTAATTGTTCGATATAAGACAGATACCGACAATAAAAGAATTTTCTACTCTGACTTGAATGGCTTTCAGATGAGCCGGAGAGAAACATATGATAAGATTCCGTTGCAGGGAAACTACTACCCCATGCCCTCTCTTGCTTTCATGCAAGCGTCAAACGGCCAGAGGTTTTCGGTTCATTCTCGACAGGCAGCTGGTGTGGCAAGCCTTCGAGAAGGGTGGCTAGAAATTATGCTGGACCGTCGTTTGGTGAGAGATGATGGACGTGGTCTTGGACAAGGAGTGATGGACAACCGAGTCATGAATGTGGTTTTCCATATCCTGACGGAATCCAACATTTCTTCAATTTCAAATCCTGCCTCGAATACTCCTCCACAGAGCCCGTCTTTTCTTTCTCATCGTGTTAATGCCCAATTGAACTATCCTTTACATGCATTCATTGCCAAGAAACCACAAGAAATTTCTGTGGCGACACACCCAAGATCCTTTTCTCCTTTAGCTACTCCCTTACCATGTGATCTGCATATTGTGAGTTTCAAAGTCCCGCAACCATCAAAATATTCTCAGCAGCAGCAGCGCGGAGATCTTCGGTTTGTCTTAATGTTGCATAGGCGAAAGTGGGATTCTTCTTTCTGCAAGAAGGCCCGTTCTGGATGTACAACTGTGGCCAATGAGCCTGTTAATCTGTTCAACATGTTCAAAGATCTTGCAGTGTTGAATGCGAAAGCAACATCTTTAAATCTTCTGCATGACGACACAGAGATGCTAGGGTACACTGAGCAATTCGGTGACGATGGACGTGTAATCATCCCTCCCATGGAAATACAAGCATACAAGTTGGAATTAAGGCCACGACAGTGAATGCAGAGGGCCAATTTAACAGCTACGTCCCTACTGATGTGGATTGAATGGAGTTCGTGACAAATGTATCCCCACTGTCAACATGATCATGGTTTACTCATTATTAACTCTGTGCTCTGCTACTTCATGAAATCTCAGACTGATTCCAACCTCAAGACTAGATGAAACTTTTCAGAGCTCGTTATTTCTCGGGACAGTTGGGTTTCCTTCATTGAGCTACAATATGATGATAGTTTTGTAAGACTGAGAAATTCATTTTTCTGGTTTCGTTGCAATATCATAGGTTTTCTGAATTTAAGAATCAAGAATGTGCCAGGATTAGTTCAGTGAGTTCCAAATAGATAGAGTTGCATATTATTGCTTATTTGAGAATGATGATATATAATGCACAGTAGCCTTTTTTTTCTCTTATTTTATGTCTCTTAAATGAAAATGGTTAGACCTCGAGTCTAGAGATGTCTCCATGATCTTTCTTTTAAAACACAGTTGGATCGAGTCGGGTTTTTGCCAGCCCTGCCTTAAATATTTCCACATGATACCTGCCAGTTATTGATAATCCAAACCTTATAAGAACCTCATTTTCTAAAAACCATCAATTTAAATACTAATCTTCGATACATTGATAGTAATCCCGGAAAAAAAAATTCTACAGGACACAAAATCTATATTCCGAAACAGTGGACCAAACTAAAATCAATCAAGAGAGCTCTTCAAGGTTTTTTGCATTCTGAATTTGAGAACATTCTAAACTTCAAATCGATAACTAAAAACTTTTATCTTCCATCACAAGTTTTTGGTTGTAAAACTATTCAGCAGCTGTACTTCAGTCTCGCTTATGCCCTTATCGTTGCCGTTGCAGATATTCTTGACGGTCATTTTTCTTTTCCACTGGCTGAAAATCAGGAAGGCCACGAGAAAGAGGCTCGCAGAACCTTTCCACCGTCACAAAATGATTTCATCTTGCACGCTTAAGTTAAGGGTCTTATTCGGAAGAACAATACTATTGATCACAACAACTTCATCTTCTACAATTACAGCCTCTCCTGCAACAGAAATTAAACTAAAGCTCAACATTTCTTCAAGTGCATCAGAGATTTTATCTGCTAAAAATAGATTATACTAAACCATTTAGAAATTTAGTTGTACAGAAAAGTACCAAGGATAGTAACTCCGAGCTTTGCATTGTAGTCTCCATCAGCCTGGAAAAATAAGGTCAAAAATCAGCCAGTTCAGAAATTTTTAGTAATTTCCTTCAACAAATTTCTATCTAGTTTTCATATAATCATCAATCAAGTTCTATACTCCACCAAGGAAACGGTTCATGCATGCTTCGATTATAAACAATACTAATTGAACACGGTGTATAATATTGTATCGATAGAAGGGTACAGAGCTTGCCTGGACACGAGACCGCTTCCCTTTAGACGACTTCCATCCAACAATAGAATTAATAACAACCGCATTTTCCTGCCGGGAGAAAATACATCAAATTATACTTTTGTCGAGTGAATAAATACTAGCACAGGTTCAACACAATGAAAATTGTGATTTTCCCCCCCAAGCATCAACTTCCTCACCTGAACCTCCACATCATCCAAGACGATACAACTTATAAGCCTTGCCCCAGCTCCTATACGAACATTTGCCGAAATAGAGACATTGGGGCCAATCTGTTCATGAAAGCGACTTAGCACTTAGTTCCATGATTGGGCAACAAACATCGAGAATGCTCGAATAAAAAAGACTAACTGGATTACCTTTGCGGTCGAATGTACTTTGGCTGAGGGATGCACATAAACATCACCAACAATCAAAGCACTTTTAGTTCCATCTCCACCAGCCAATAGATCAGGGGAGGTAAACCGAAATTGAGCAAGATAAAGACCAGAACATTTTAAAGACATCCTGTATGGATAATGACAGATTTAAAAATGGAGAAGAATCAATGATAACTCGTCAAAGAAAAAGAAAAGAAAAGCAACATCAATCCCTAACATTTTACCCTGGAGTCTTGATTTGTTCCCAGAAATCCATAGTTTCATATGTATATAACTGCTTCTTTCCCGCAAATGGGGACAAAATATCTTGATCCAATCTAACAAAGTCGAGGGAAAAAGCCCTGGAGGAAATAGATATAGGCATTAAGATTGGAACAGCGGCATTTCACAACAAATAAATGCGCCCAAAATGAAAAAGATGCCAAACATTTTCTTAGGAGCAGAGGCAATCAAAAAGTATCAAAGACTAAAGCGTCTGATCTCGACCTTTTTACGAAAAATAAAACCGCAGCTATAGTCTATAGATATTTGAGAAATAATGTTTCAGATCATTGTGCAACCTGAGGAATATGTGCAAAAGGATGTTTTCTCGTACAGGAAAAAAATCAATCGTAAAGTTACAAATAAAATCAAGATGTATGCAAAAGTATGTCATCTATCGTCCTAAATATTTTAAAGTAAATCAGTAAAAGATAACTGTTCAAACACAGAAAGACTAGTGAGTAAGTCTATTGAAAGAGACAACCTTGTCGGAGAGTGCAGCGTCTCAAAGCTCGAAAAATGGCGAAAATTAGCTGCAATACAACCAAAAAGAAGCAACCATGTAAAAGCATGAAGACTGCAACATGCAGCAGGTGCGCCCCCCCCAACCCAAAAAAAAAGAAAAAAGAAAAAAGAAAAGCAATATTCAATGATGCATATTCATATCTTCTGCAAGACCATACAAAGGTTACACCATGCTTGTTAAGGCATCATAAACTGTAATTATGAACATATGTACAACCTTGGTCTCCTCGATATGTGTAGACTTCCTGAATGGCAGTGAAGATATCGGGAGTAAAGATGTAAACTCCACAGTTAATTAAATCGCTTACCTGCAATCCATCAAATGTAAACAACAAAGAGAAGTGGCTAGCTTAGGACTATTAACAAACTAGAAATTCCTCATACAAAATAAGTGAAAGTTTACATTTGCACCGTATACGTACAAAAGTCTCGGGTTTCTCAGTGTAGTGAAGTAACTCTTTCGTGATTGGGTCAGCAACCAACTCGCCAAACTGGTTAGCTGTTTCAGCAGAAACCTGGATGGGAAACAAGAAGAAAACATCAAAAGAAGACCACATCAAAGAATAAAGTTTTTGCAATTAAAGTAAATTATAAAATCAATTTACAGATAATAGAAAATTGAAAAAGAAACTTTCCTTGATTACTAACACCGTTCCCATCCCACCGTATCTTTTGTGAGCCTCTGCAGAAACGAGCGTCTAATTAATGTTCAGGGAAGCAAGCTTGGAAGTGTATAATTATATGAGTAACAGGAAAGTTACCAAGCATGTCTGTCAACGGAAAACTGCAACAAACATCACAATTTAGCAAGAAGATGTGAGACTGCACAAAAAGAACACATTATGAGAAATAATTCAAAGCATCTGCACATCGATTTAGCACTGTCTGAGAAGTTATAAAGGACCGAGACTCAGAACTTCGAAGGGAAAAGGAAATAATAAAACACTAAAGCAAAAATGAGAATGAATGAATACAAAAAGGAATGCAGAATTCAAACCGGGTTGTCTTCCATGATAATATTTCTAAAGTAATAGACGCCACCAGCTGAACCATGGGGTTTGTCCTCTTTCAAGTATCTAACTCAATCAATTTGAAAACCAAAGAAAAAGATAATATAAGTGAGATCCATCATAGAGGTAAAAAGCTTAAAATGAGAAAAAATATTATTGCGGAAGACGGCTATCGGATAGAGTAAAATCGCAACTGATAATTTGAGAAAATAAAAATGAAGATAAAAGAGACAAAATTTACGTGGAAAACCCCTAAAAATTTAGGGTAAAAACCACGGGCAACGGTAGAAGAATTTCACTATGAGAAAATAGAAATTACAACCTCTCGATCTACCAAGGAGAAAACAATGATAATTCTCTCTAGATAAAAAGGAGAAAACAACTCTCAAGAAACTCTCTAAAATCTCTCTAGTATTGGAAGAAAGCTAGAATGCTTTGGATGAATTTGAAGCTATATGAGCTATGGTATTTATAGTTGAAACTTAAGGACTAATCTTATAAATACCCTAAATTACAATGACTAAAATTAATTATCCCATTACCCAATTTCAACAAAAATTAGGTGCCTAATTTTTGACTTTGACAAAGCACCATTTGGTGCCTAAATTATTTGACTTTTAACAATCTCCCACTTGAAGATTTGATTGGAATAATCATATCTTTACACCATTCTTTCTACCTTGTACCTTCATGTTGCTTACGTTTCTGACAGGCCACAGGAGGATCGACACCAGGTAAATTTATCAGCGTTGATCGCCTTCGTCATGAAATCTGCTATGTTGTCTTTGGTATGGATCTTCTGCATATCTATTGTTCCTTCTTCCACCTTTTCACGAATAAAATGGTACTGAACTCGTATGTGTTTTGTCCTTGAATGAAATGTTGGATTCCTTGCTAGATGCAAGGCGCTTTGACTGTCACAAAACAGAGAGACATACTATTGATTGTGCCCAAGCTCCTCCAATAGCATCTTCAACCAAATTGCTTCTTTACTGGCTTGTGTAGCTGCTACATATTCTGCCTCTGTTGTGGATGTAGCCACAATTGATTGTAATTTTGAAACCCAGCTTACAGCTCCACCAGCAACTTTGAACACATATCCTGTAGTAGATTTGCTTTTATCCAAATCCCCTGCATAGTCATAATCTACATACCCATTGATTAGTAAGTTTGATCCTCTATAACATAATGCAACATTTGAGGTCCCTTTGATGTATCTCAGATCCTCTTTACTGTATTCCAATGCTCTTTGCCTGGATTCGCCATGTATCGACTAACCACTCTCACTGCTTGTGCAATGTCTAGTCTTGTGCATATCATAGCGAACATTAAACTTTTCACTGCTGATGTATACGGTACTCGAGACATCTCCATCCTCTCTTCTTCACTGCTAGGACTCATACTGGAGGATAATTTGAAGTTAATAGGAAGAGGGGTAGAAATTGGCTTACAATCTTGCATGCTAAATCGTGACAAGATTTTCTTCAAGTAATTCTTTTGTGAAAGCCAAATCTTCCTATTACTTCTGTCTCGGTGAATTTGCATCCCTAGAATCTTGTTTGCTGATCCCAAGTCTTTCATTTCAAATTCCCTAGCCAGTTGTGCCTTCAATTCTTCAATATGATCTTTGTTGGGTCCTGCAACCAACATGTCATCCACATACAACAGCAATATAACAAAATCGTTATCACCAGACATCTTGAAATAAACACAAGGGTCTGCATTAAGTCTGTTGTATCCAAGGCATATAATGAAGGAATCAAATCTCTTATACCAACACCTTGGCGC